AAGACAAACTCTCTCTCAGGATGGAGGCGAAAGACACAGAGAAGGAAATGGGGAACGAGTCCAGAGAGTCAAACAAATACATTGCCCAGAAGTAGCATGAAGGGCAGATGTCCAGGTTAGAGTATCTATCAAAGATTCCAATGGTCCATAAACTCTAATTTAGCATTCCATATCTCAGATCTATTCTAACACTAAAGTATGTCTCATGAGTGAAAAAATTGTATATATACAAAGATATCTGTTACAACACTGCCAGTGGGGGAAATCATTATGGTAACATGAATCCATTCCTGTACATAGTATATGTTCAGATCTATGCCACAGAAAAACTTTAAAACACACATGCAATTCTAGTTCTCCAAGAAGTGGTTTTTAGGAATTTAACATTTTTAATTATAAATTAATACAAATAGCCTATGTCCATTATTTTAAATAAAACAATTTAAATAAGTAAATAAGATAAATATGGAAGTTACTCCATCCCTCTCATCTCATTTCACAAGGCAACCACATACACATCACACACATAACACACACACATATAAAGATACTTTCTTACAAAAATGGATTATTCTATATGCACTATTCTGCAACTTATTTTGTCACTTAACAGATTGCAATAGACAGTGCCTTCACAGAGACAACATAGCTTAGCAACTAATAGCTCCACTCTGCCATCAGACTGCCTGAATTCGAATCCCAGCTCTATCCACTTACTGTCTGTGGACCTGGAAGTTCTTAGCTTTGGCTAAACTCTATTTTTGTCTTTAAAATTAGATAATTATAGTGCCTACTTTAGGATTGAGAACATAAAGATGAAAACCATGCAAAGCAACTAACTCAGTATGTTGCATATATTGAGTGCTAAAAATATGGCTAATATTAACCATCTTTTCTATTCTTTAGAAACTGCATGATATTGAGCAATAACAATGCACTATAAATTGTTTAATAATACTATGTGTAATATTTAGGTCTCTATGTTGTTGTTATTGTTGTTGTCATTATGTTTGGATAATGTAAAAATGCTATAATAAAATGTTTCTACACATTTTTGTTACCAAATTATACATTTCCAAAGGAAAGAATTTTTTAAAGTGAAATTACTGATTCAAGAGATGCAGAATATCAAATTGAATAGAGACTTCAAAAAGCTATAGAAGGGTCTATTTCATTTGGATATTGTCCAAAATGTAGTACAAATCTGATGGATAAAATTGTATTTTGGTTCTTATTCTCAATTACCAATTAGCTAACTACCTTGTCATATGTTTTCTTGGTACCTGTATTGCAGATATTTTCTATGATTAGTAGTTGTAGTTTAGCTTTGTTTTGATCTCTTTTGTGTATTTTCAATTTTGAGTGCAGATTTATCATTCTTGCTTATACATTCATAATTGCTTGGATGACATATCCCATCTTGAGAGCTAAAACTTATTTTATACTTACAATTACTTTATGGCATTCAACTGGGTTTATTTCTATGTTTATTTATGTGGGTTACATAGAACTCAGTCTATGCTTTCCAATTATTCAACAATGTCAACAAATATCATTAATTCATACTCCATCCTTTCTCTAAACTCTGAATATCTTATTATATATGCAGTTGCAGATAGATCACAATCTATATCTATATAAATCAGATATAGAAAATTCTCTATGATGGTCCATTGATTTTTTCTCAGTTTCTGCCATTAACTGATTGTTTTTAATTATGGTGCTTTAATTGGGGTTAGAAAAGTTCTCTGAGGGCCGGGGCGCTGTGGCTCACGCCTGTAATCCTAGCTCTTGGAGGCCGAGGCGGGCGGATTGCCAAGGTCGGAGTTCAAAACCAGCCTGAGCAAGAGCGAGACCCGTCTCTACTATAAATAGAAGAATTAATTGGCCAACTGATATATATAGAAAAAAATTAGCCGGGCATGGTGGCACATGCCTGTACCAGCTACCCGGAGGCTGAGGCAGAAGATCACTCGAGCCCAGGAGTTTGAGTTGCTGTGAGCTAGGACTCCACGGCACTCACTCTAGCCTGGGCAACAAGCGACGACTCGTCTCAAAAAAAAAAAAAAAAAAAAAAAGTTCTCTGACATTATTCTACTTTTTTTCAAATTGATCTTGTCTGTCCTGAGCCATTTATTCCTCCAGATGAATTTTAGAAAAACCTTCACAGGTTTTATTTAAAATTCCTTTGGGGTCTTATTAGCAGTGCAATGAAATTTATTAACTTGAGAAGAATTGACATTTCAAAATATTGAGTCTTCCTTTAGGCATATGGCATTTCCATTTATTTACATCTTCATTTTGTGTTTTGCTATAGTTTCTTCAGATAGGTCTTACCCATTCATTTTCCCCTCAGGTTTCTTCTTAAGTAATTTTTAGACTATCTTACCACTTTTTTTTTTTTTTTTTTTTTTGCTTATTCAATAAGTTTATTGTCTGACATTTCTCAAAAATCCTCCTAAAAGATTACAGTTTGGTTTAGCTTTCAGCAGCCCACTCCTGAGCTCTGAGGAAGCTTGCCTTCTTTTGAGCTACCCAATCTTTCTTCTGGGCAAGGGACATTTTGGGACGGTTCCATCTCTTCTTCTTAACTTCTTTCTTAGGCTTCTTCTCATAGACTGGATTATCTCGTATAGCAGCATGGGCTTTCTTATACATCTCCTACATCATGTCTGGAGTAACGTTGTTCTTTATGTATAGAGAAAATTGTTTCTTGTAAGCATCTTCATCTTCTTCCATTAGATAAGGCATATAATCTGCAACATTCTGACCCATGATATGCTTCCGACGTACTTCAGCATTAAATTCCTTGCTTTCAGAATCATAACCAGGGAATCGTTTGGTACTGTGAGGCATAGACAAGCCTCCATCCACAGCTCCCTTCAGGACCCCAAAAACTTTATTGCCAGTCATAGTTCTGGCAAGGCCTGCATCCAAATAGCACGTAAAAGCACCAGGCTGGCAGTCAATGCTTTCCACGTTGTATTCATCTCCTGTCACTTCCACTTGGCCTTCATAGATCTTGTCCATGCCAAACCTATTGAGAAGCCTGCGGGCCAGCAGCAGGCCAGCACAATATGCTGCAGCATAATTTGTCAGGCCAACCTTCACGCCATATTTTGGTAGTTCGTGTGTATAAGCTGCACAGACTATCACATCCCCTTCTATACAGGCATAAGCAATCTGACAAATGATGTCTGTTAGTTACACGAACTATCATTCTGTATTTGGGTGTGTTGTACTTATTTTTATCCTGTATCACCAAGCGTTTCCAAGCATAGTAATCAGTTTTACCCTCTCGTCGACTTCTGAATTTCACTTGGTATCTCTTAAAGTAGGCCTTATTCTTGACAACTTTAACAAACCCCATCCTGCAGAACAGAGACCCGCTTTCACGGCTCCACACTGACTTGCCTATCTTACCACTTTCAATTAAAACTTTCTTCAAATTACATTTTTCTAATACAAGAAAAGTATTAATATTGGTACATTTATCTTTTATCTGGCCATTTTGGTAAAGTCTTCATAGATTTTACATTTTTTCAGATGACTCTGTAGGATTTTATATGTGGACAATCATATCACCTAAAAGTAATGACATTTTCATCCTTTCTGATGTTGATGCCTCCTATCTCTTTAGTTTTCCTTTTTCACTGGTTTAGACCACCATCTCAGCAATGTAGCTTAATAGTGATAACAGAAAGCATCCTTTCTTTATCTTTTCCATGATCTTGGTGAACACAGGACTCTTAGACTCTGAGTTTTCTATAATGTTTCTGATTTCTGAATGTTTAGAATGAGAACTTCATAGTTTATAATCCGAAAAATTCACACGTTTAGAGAACTAATCTCAGTAACATAAGCTATTCCTGATAGTATTCCTATTTTGACTAGCATCCCTGGATGAAAACCTATCCAGATCATATTATCCAAACAGGAAGGTTTAAATAGACATTTAAGCATGTTTCTGAAGACTAAAGGAAGTACCATCTGAATTATGTAGCTATCAAGGAGCATTGATTAACTCTGATGTTCATTATTACACTGTCCCAACTATCACCACCACCTCTGCAACTATTAATATGAGCAGGAGAGGACCCGGAGTGAAAGGACCCATTCATGGGGCTGCCTTGTATAAAAGCATCCTGACTCAAGGTAAGATCCATAAACCTCTTCCTCTGGGACAAAAAAAAGAGGCTAAAATTTGGTCAAGAGACAACCTAAGAAGAATCTTTAGAAAGAGAAATGAGAACCTAGATAAATTAGGCCACATAGAAGTTCCTAAGAACACATAAAAAACCTTTAGTTTCTAACTTGGAAGGCAGCTTGAAGATTTTCAACTGTCCTTTGTTGAATGTGTTCTGATCCTCAACCAATAAAATTTCAATTACTAAAAAAAATGTATTTATTTATGTATTCATTTGTGTCAATAGATTTAGGGGGTAAAATGGTTATTTTTGTTACATGGGTGAATTGCATAGTGGTGAAGTAGAGATTTTTAGCATACCCATCACCCAAATAGTGTACATTATACTCAAGAAGTTATTTTTCATGGTCACCCCCATACCACCTTCCCCCTTCTGAATCTCAAGTGCCTATTATTACACTCTATACAACCATACATACCCAGAGTTTAGCTCTCACTCATAAGTGAGAACATGAAGTATTTGTTTTGCCATTCCTGAGATATCCACTTAGGATAATGGCCTCAAGTTCCATTCAGGTAGCTAGAAAAGACATTATTTTATTCTTTTTTTTATGGCCAAGTGGCATTACATGATATGTGTGTGTGTGTGTGTGTGTGCATGTATGTCACATTTTCTTTTTTTTATTGATAAAATCAATTTTATTAACTAATAATTAATAAAAATCCTACCCCACACCAGGCATAAAAATTAACTTCAGGTAGATGGTAGACTTACATGATATCTCACATTTTCTTTATCTACTCATCAGTTGATGGGCACTTTGGTTGATTTCCCTTTGCATCTCTCCTACAGCTTCTACAAACCCTGTCCAAAAAGTCCAGGGACATGGAGTCAAAGAACTACAGCAGCAGCACCTCAGGCTTCATCCTCCTGGGCCTTTCCTCCAACCCTCAGCTGCAGAAGCCCCTGTTTGCCATCTTCCTCATCATGTACCTGGTCACCGTGGTGGGGAATGTGCTCATCATCCTGGCCATCCACTCTGACTCCAGGCTCCATTCCCCCATGTACTTCTTCCTCAGCAACTTGTCTTTCATGGATATCTGCTTCACAACAGTCATTGTGCCCAAGATGCTGGTGAATTTCCTCTCAGAGACAAAGACCATCTCCTACGTGGGCTGCCTGGTCCAGATGTACTTCTTCATGGCCTTTGGGAACACTGACAGCTACCTTCTGGCATCCATGGCCATTGACAGGCTGGTGGCCATCTGCAAACCCTTCCACTATGATGTGGTTATGAGCCCACGGCGTTGCCTCCTCATGCTGTTGGGTTCTTGCACCATCTCCCACCTACACTCCCTGTTCCGGGTGCTACTCATGTCTCGCCTGGCTTTCTGTGCCTCCCACATCATTAAACACTTTTTCTGTGATACCCAGCCTGTGCTAAAGCTGTCCTGCTCTGACACATCCTCCAGCCAGATTGTGGTCATGACCGAGACCCTGGCCGTCATCGTGACCCCCTTCCTGTGCATCATCTTCTCCTACCTGAGAATCATCCTCACTGTGCTCAGAATCCCCTCTGCAGCTGGGAAGTGGAAGGCCTTCTCCACCTGTAGCTCCCACCTCACTGTGGTGGTCCTGTTCTATGGCAGTATCATCTATGTCTATTTCAGGCCCCTGTCCATGTACTCAGTGGTGAAGGACCGGGTAGCCACAGTTATGTACACAGTGGTGACACCCATGCTGAACCCTTTCATCTACAGCCTGAGGAACAAAGACATGAAGAAAGGTTTGAAGAAATTAAGGGACAGAATTCAGTCATAGAAAAAATAAATAATGGAATGTCATCATTGGTAGATGACCTAAGACATTATGAGGTTATCCTTCCTTCCTAACCATTTTCCACAGGGCATTCAAAGAGATCAGGACAAGTGGTATTGGATGATAGTAAGATAATTGACCCAGGAGCCAAACACTTGGTTTCTATCAATGATATTAACCAAATACATATTGAATCCTAGCTAGGTACTGCTACGGATCCAGATTTCAGGAAATTGGTTTCTACCATCCTCAATACACTGGCAACCATAAAGAAATGTAAAATTATTTCCAAATAATTCTTCCATTAATATAAGCCTGGCAATGTCCAGCAATCAAGAAGCTATAAACTCTACTAATTTTCAGAGCAAGAAACTAAATGGGTTTTATAGGTAATTGGGTAGGACTTCTTGGAAGATGACCTGAAAAGTCATCTTGAAGAATAAACTGAATTTTAACAGATGAAGTTTCAAGAGGTGAAGAAATGGACTGAGCATTTCAAATAGTGGAAATCATCCAAGCATATAGAGGCAATAAGCACTGCCATGTGATTGAGGGACAGTGAAAAGCCATGCAAGGTTTGTTCAATCTGCAAGTAAGGAAAATGAGGCTGGAAAAATAGAGGAATATACAGGGAAGATTTACTCTCCACACCAACCCTCAAGTGTCATAACAGTGTCAATACTCAGTACCCAACTCTTTTCCCCTTCTCTCTTAATTCTTCCTCTCTCCAATAATTCAGCATTCTCACTAAGCTGCCCTTTATATCCTGGAAAAACCAAGTATATCAGTCAGGAAAATCTAGGTGGTTTCGTGGAGAAAAACAACCTTATAATCTCAGGACCCTAAAACCAAAGGTTTATTTCTCATTCACATTGAGGGCCCACCATAGAAAAGTGTAAGGGTGCTGCTCGTTTTCAATACTCAGCAACCCAAGATTATGGAGCGGTCATCCTTGAAAACATTAATTATCACTCGGTCAGAATCTGAGAAATACTCTTAAACATTTTACATTGGCAGTTGAATACCCTGTTCCAGAAGTGACTCACACCACTTATGACCAAAACTTATTGTCCAAAACTAATCTCATGACCCAACCAAACACAGAAATCCAGGAGGCACAATCCAACCATGTGCCTCTAAGATGGAGAGCCAGAGTATTTGGTAAACAGTGCTGGTGAATACTACACAACGATGTTAACATACAAACACTTCAGTGTGGATTAGCTGCTTTAACAATCCTCCCTGATTAAGTTATTGTCAACAGCAATAATAATATAAGACTTCTACTCCCTCTCTGGAATCCTGTGCCTCAATTATTTTATCAGGTTCTCACAACCACCAGCTTTTCTGGGTCAGAAGCTTGTTAATGGCAAAACCTGAAGTTGAATACAAGTCTTTAGGCCTTAAAGATAGAGCATAAGATGTATGAGAGTCTAATGGAACACAGGGGCACCTAGGCTCCAACCTTGAGCTCCATGTCATTGCCTTTACTGAGTCATCCTAATTATAAGGAAGTAATCAGCAAGCCGGAAAAGAAGCCCAATGCAGTAGCCTTCATAGTTTTACAGGCACACCTGGATTTCACCACTATCTCCCACTGATCACCTGGTTTAGGGGATGCTGGCCTAGACTAATGTATGTATTTTTTCCATTTACTCTATTTATGTGCCATAGTTTTCTAATGTTCAACCAAGTACGATAAGCTACTTTAGAATGTGACAGATTCTTTGTATATATTAAATAAATACTTTCATTAATTACAGCTGCCATTCACTTATTAAGCTAATTATGTCCTTTGGTTCTGAGACCACTAACTTTTTTATTTCTGACCTCACAATGTTTTCATCCCCAGACTTCTTTTTCTTAACAAATGCATGAAGAAAAGATTCACAAAAGATCTTTTATGAATAATTCTACAGATATTGTGAAAAGTTCAAACCAAAGGGAATTCTAGGTAACAAATAATGATGAAAGTACACTTTGGAATAAAAGAGTTCCCAGCCAACTCTCAGGTAAGTCCTAACCTACTCAGTCAAAGTGAGAGTGTTTTCTCTGTTAGATTATGGGGCCAGGATTTTTTTTGAGAATTTTTGAATATATATTCATAAGAGATATTGGTCTGTAGTTTTTACTTTTTGTTGTGTCCTCTCCTGGTTTTGGCATCAGGGTGATGTTGGCTTCATAAAATGTGTTGGGGAGGATTCCTTCCTTCTTGATGTTGTGGAATAATTTCTGCAGGATAGGTACCAGTTCTTCTTTGTAGGTCTGGTAAAATTCTGGTGTGAAACTATCTGATCCAGGACTTCTCTTTTTAGGAAGCTTTTTAAATTATTAATTAAGCATATTATGGGGTAAAAATGTTTAGGTTACATGTGTTGCCTTATCCCCTCCTTCCCTGCCCCCCCACCCCCCAGAATTAGAGCTTCAAGTGTGCTGCTTCAATTTCAATACTTGATATTGGTCTGTTCAGGAATTCTATTTCTACCTGATTGAGCCTAGGGAGTCTGTGTGTTTCTAAGATTTTCTCCATTTCCTCCACAGTTTCAAGTTTATGTGCACAGAGGTTTATATAGTATTGATAGATGATATTTTGTATTTCTCAGGCATCAGTTGTAATTTCTCTTTTTCATTCCTGATGGAGCTTATTAGAGTCCTTTCTTTCCTGCTTCTCGTTAATCTAGCAAGAGGTGTGTCAATTCTAGTTTTTTTTTCAAAGAACCAACTTTTTGTTTATTAATCTTCTGTATAGTTTTTTGTTATCAATTTCATTTAGTTCTGCTCTGGTTTTTGTTATTTATTTTCTTCTGCTGGGTTTGCGGTCAGTTTGCTCATCCTTTTCCAGTTCTTTAATATGATTCATTAGATTGCTTATTTGTGATCTTTCTGTCTTTTGTTTTTTTTCTTTTAGCGTATTATGGAGGTACAAGTGTCAAGGTCACGTATATTGCCCATGCCCCCTCCTCGAGTCAGAGCCCCAAGCATGACCATCCCCCAAATGTTGCACATCTCACTCATTGTGTTTGTATATACCCATCCCCTCCTTACCCCCTCCCACCTGCCCAACACCCAATAAATGTTATTCCTATATGTCCACTGAAGTGTTGATCCATTAATACCAATTTGCTGGTGAGTATATGTGGTGCTTGGGTTTTCCAGTCTTGAATACTTCCTTAGTAGAATGGTCAGCTGTATCCAGGAAAATACTAAGATGTGCTATATATCACCATGTTTCTTAAAAGCTGGAGATAGTTATTCCATGGAACAGTATACCACATTTTATTAACCACTCATGAATTTGATGGAACTTGAGTTGTTTCCATACAACTTTGCAATTGTAATTGTGCTTGCCTAAATCATTGAGTGCAGTGTCTTTTTCATAAAGTGACTTGTATCTTTGGGTAGATGCCAGTAGTGGAAGCTGGATCAAATGTAGATCTACAGTCACTTTAAGGTATCTCCATATGCTTTCACAGAGGTTGAACTAGTTGCAGTCCCACCAGCAGTGGAGGAATGTTCCTATCTCTTCATATCCAGCCAGCATTTATGTTTGGGACTTGATAAAGCCATTCTTCACTGGAGATAAGTGATATCTCACTGTGTTTTGATTTGCATTCCCCATGATTAGAGATGTGACATTTCATATGTTTGTTGGCCATTATTCTGTCTTCTTTTGAGAAGTTTCTGGTCATGTCTTTGCCCATTTTTTGATAGGGGTTTGATTTTTTTCTTGCTGATTTTCCTCAGTTCTAAATAGATTCTAGTTATCAGCCTTTTCGGAGTGAGCTGCGAAAATTTCTCCCACTCTGGGTTGTCTTTGCTCTGACAATTCTTGGCAGTTAGAGCTTTTAATTTGATCAGGTCTCAGTATTATTTTGTTGCTGCTGTGATTGCCTTGGGTCTTCTTCATAAATTCTTTGCCTAGGCCAATATCTAGAAGAGTATTTCCAACATTTTCCTTAGAATCTAATAGTTTCACACCTAAGGTTCAAGTCTGTAACCCAGCGTGCATTGATTTTTGTGAGCGGTGAAAAGTTTGGGTCTTGTTTCAGTCTTCTACATGTGGCTATCCGTTTCCCCAGCCCATTTTATTAAAAGGATTCTTTTCCCCAGTTGTATGTTTTGGTCTGCTTTGTCGAATATTAGTTGCTTTATGAGGAAAATATCCATCACAACCCAAGTGGCCTCATCCCAGGAATGCAGATGGTTCAACATATGCAAATCTATAAATGTAATTTACCATATAAACAGAAGCAAAAACAAAGACCATATGATCCTCTCAATAGAATGCAGAAAAAGCGTTGACAAAATAACACCCTTTATAATAAGAACACTCAATAAATAGCATAGACAGGCTCCCTAAAAATGATACAAGCATATATGACAAACCCACAGCCAATATAATACTGAATGGGGAAATTAAAGCATCCACTTAGAACTGGAACAAGACAAGGTTGCCCACTATCTCCACTTCTATTCAACATAGTGCTGGAACCTCGCTACAAGCAATCAAACAGGAGAGGGGAAATTAAGGCGTCCAAATGGAGCAGAGGAGATCAAACTATCACTCTTTGCTGATGACATGATATATACCTAGAAAACCCCAGGATTCAACCAGGAGACTCCTGAACGATAAATGAATTTGGTAAAGTCTTAGGATACAAAATCAATACACAGAAATCAGAGGCATTCATATACGCCAACAACAGTAAAAGCGAGAAACAAATCAAAGACTCAATTCCCTTCAAAATAGCAACAAAAGAAATAAGTACCTTGGAATATATTTAACTAAGGAGGTAAAAGACCTACAGAGGGAGAACTATGAAACACTGAAGAAGGAAATAGCAGAGGATTAACGAGAGAGGGAAGATACCAGCTCAGTGGTCAGCAGAACAACATGTTAAAATGTCTATACTACCAAATGGACCTACAGAGTCAATGCAATCCCTATCAAATGCCACCATCATTTTTCACAGATATAGAAAAAATAATTTACACTTCGTTAGAACCAGAGAAGACCCGTATATCAAAAATCAATCTAGCCATAAAAACAAAATAGGGAATATCAATTTACCAGACTTCAAATATACTACAATGCGTATAGTAATTAAAACAGCTTTTTACTGCACAAGAACAGACTTGAGATGGAAAAGAACGAGATCCAATATAAAACCATCCTCTTCTGTCTTTTTGGATGTATAGTACTTACGGATATAAATTTCCTCTCAAAACTGATGCGCGTGTCCACCAATTTGATTATTTGGTCTCCTTTATTATTTAGTTCAAAGAATCTTTTGATTTCATTTGATTTCTTCCTTAATGCAATACTATTCAGCAGAAGGTGTTTAGTTTCAGACTTTGTTAAAGATGAGTTCTGTTGGAGTGATTTTAATTGTTATTCTACTGTGGTCGGAGAAGATGCATGCTATAATATCTATTTTTTTAAAATTTTTTGAGACATGCTTTGTGGCCTAGGATATAGTCAATCTTAGAGAACATCCCATGAGCTGATGAGAAGAACATATATTCAGTGGGTTTTGGGTAAAATGTTCTGTAAATGTCAGTCAGCCCCATTGTTCTAGCGTTCTATTAAGTCCATGTTTCTTTGTTTATTTCTGTTTGGAGGATCTGTCCTGTTCCATCAGAGGTGTGTTGAAGTCTCTGGCTATTACCGTGTTGCTGTTTGTCATTTTGTTTATATCAAGTAGTATTTGCTTGGACTGTTTTATGCTTTTAGAAAAAAAAAAAAAAGTAGTATTTGCTTTATGAATCTAGGTGCACCTGAGTTAGGTGCAGAAATATTTAGAATTGTTATGTCTTCTTGATGAATTGCACTCCTCACCATTATATAGTGACCATCTTTGTCTTTTATTACTTTTGTTGATTTGAAGATTAAGTTATCTAAATCAGAACTGCCATGCTAGCTTTTTTTTGGCTTCTGTTTGCTTGAAATACTGTTTTCTATCCCTTCACCTTGAGTCTGAATGTATCCTTATGGATTAGATGTGTTTCCTGAAGACAGCAGATACTTGGCTTGTGTATATTATCCATTCAGCAGCCTATGCCTCTTTTAGAGGTGTCAAAGCCATTCACATTTATTGAGAGAATTGATAGGTAGGCAGATTTCTGTTCATCTCCTGAGTTGAACTTTGGTGCTTGTTCCTCACTGACCCATTGTGGTATCTGGCCTTGACCCTTTAGCTTACAAACAAAATCAGGTGTTTATTAAAAAAAAAATCCATCACAATCAAGTGAGCTTTATCCCATAGGTGCAGGATGGCTCAACATATGCAAACTACAATGTAATTCACCACATAAATAGAAGCAAAACCAAAGATCATATGATTCTTCAATAGATGCAGAAAAAGCATTGACAAAATTCAACACCTCTTTATGATAAGAATGCTTAACAAAATAGGCACAGATGGGACTTACCTAAAATTGATACAAGCCACATATGACAAACCCACAGCCAACATCATACTGAATGGGAAAAATTGAAAGCATTTCCACTTCAAACTGGAACCAGACAAGGGTGCCTCTATCACTGCTTCATTCAACATAGTGCTGGAAGTCCTAGATAGAGCAACCAGACAAGAGAAGAAATCAAATCCAAATCATGGCAGAAGAGTCAA